GCTTCCCTTACGTATCTTCCACTGTCCCTTATGTATCCTTCCTTGTACGGTGCCCTTCTTTAAGCCCTCCAGACAAAAAATTATGAAATAATTCGGCTGTCCCTGGTGGTTTCCAGCCTGATATCACTTCTCTGCGTAAGAAGTCACAAACTTCTGTGTCTGGTGTGAACGTATCACGGCAAAGGTCGCACTGTAGTCTCCCATGTCTGCATGTTTGAAGAGGTGCTGCACACATGCTTTCACAAAGGATATTGGCTGGAGAGCAGTACAGGAACATGTGCAAAAGTGTGACAGTCCTGTGGGTGTAGGAGTCCATTGTATTGGATTCCCACTCTCTCGCCTAGATTTTCAAAAGCAATTATGGCCAGATTCTCTTCCACTTGTTATGTAAGTGGAGGTAGGCACTTAAGTGTAATTCTGTTCCTCTTTGCTTGAGTCCCTGAAAAACTGCTAACCTAAAAGCTGGTGCTTACTGCTTTTTGTGACTTGGTCTTAACAGTTGTAAGGGTAAAATGACAGTGTGAGACAAAAGTTGTTAGGTGTATTAATGGATTTTTGGGACTTGAACAGGTGAAACAGAATTGCATTTAGGTGCCTAAACCCACTTAGGCATGGATAAATATGCATAAACCTAATATGTGGCTAGAATCTGGCCCTTAGTATGTTTTGGTGCTGTATATTTTGGTGTCCAAGTTGAGACGTGTCTCAAGAGGACTGTTTCTCAGAAAGTGCTGAGTGGCTGTCCTTTGGACTTAAAGACCCTTTAAAAAGTAGTGTGCAGATCAGGCTTCCAAAATCTCTAGCTGTTTTTAAGTCCAGACATAATGGTCCCTTTTGGTGAGGGGAATACCGAGATTCAGTTAGTATTACTTACAGCCCCATAAATGTCCCTCTCTTCCTTGTCATGTAAGCTCAGTCAGGAAGAAACTGTGGGGGGGGGGGGAGGGGAGAGGAGGGGGGATGTAGGCAAAAATGGTCATCAGAGAATCATGGACAGCAATTTCTTCAGGTTTTACTTCGGATATTCTCTCTCCCTGCCTGATTGGCTCTTTGATCCAACCCCGTTCTGCACTTGCGCGCTCTCTCTTTCTGCCTCAGCCTCAGTCTACCTGTCCTATATGTTTTCTTCCCTTCCCTTCCCTATCTTCCTCTTTTTCAGTTAATCCCCCTCCCCAAAGGAAAAGCCCACCCAGCACCAGCACTGCACCAAAGAAACAAACCAACCAAAAAATTATGCCATAAATGTGACTACTGCAAACAACAGCAGTGTACCCCTGCCATGCCACAGCCTTCTGTCCTATTTGCCTCTTGCCATGCACAGGAATCCTCTCCATTTGCTGTGCCCAGCACAAGGAGGCCGTCATCAGGAGTCCCTCAGCATGACTAATACAGATCACTTTTAGAGGGAGAATACCAATGTCAGGCACAGACCTAAAACTCTATGGATGCTTTCAGTTCTTCCCTGTCTGTCCTCTTTCCTTCTCAGTATCCTATCTTGGGTGGCTTCTTCCTTTCTCCCCTCTTGCTCCTCTCCTCTCTTTCTTTCTTTCCTCAGATCTGCGGAGGATGACAGCTGGTTTCATTGGCATGGCAGTCTCTATCATTCTGTTTGGATGGATCATTGGTGTGCTAGGCTGCTGTAAACAGCACGAGCTCATGCAGTATGTGGCAGGGCTGCTCTTCCTCATGGGAGGTGAGAGGTTCTCTCTTCTTCACTAATATACATTAAGCAACAGAGCATTTCCCAGGCATGTAAAGGTTAAACCAGCCCCATCGGCAGACAGCACAAAATGGCATATTAGGGTAACAATTAATGTAACACAGATGTAGAAGTGTTAGGTCCATGTCGACAGGAACTGAGTCAGGGTGGTTCCATGGATCTGAGCATGGAGCTCACTGCAGCCTCGTGCACAGAAGTGAACTGTTTAAGTAGCTGTCTTCCTATAGGGCTGCTCTCTGCCGCCTGGTGAGGCAGCATAAAGGGCAGGGTGAATGCAACTCTTGTAATTCCTCTGGCAGTGAGATGGAAGCTGTTGAGTATACACCCTGTTACTCTTCTCAGAGACCTTAAACCAGTCCTTTCAACCCATTTGGTGAAGAAGTGTGTCTTGATGCTGTTTCTCTGTAGGAAATTATATCTACACCCTGCCTTGTCCAGCCCCCTGTAGAGCAAGGGGAGGCACTATTTGCCAACTGATGCTGCTTGTGGCAGAGTCCCAGCCCTGCCTATCCAGTGGTAGATTACCTCCGTCCATACTAAGTGCCTTGGCTTGGGCAGGAAAACCAGGACCTCAGAAATGGGACACAACTAACATAGTATAAGCATTATTGTAAAACTGAGGGAGCTCCTGGGGAAGAGACAGGGCACTGTTCCAGGGCAAGGGGTCCAAAGCAACAGGGGAGAAGAGGACCAGTGCCAGTACATGTGCTGGAGTCGAGCAGGAATCTTGTCTCTGCTACAAGGCATCCATACTGATCACTGAGGTGTTCCTCATAGCAGCGTAGGGCTGGCACACTGCCATTCAGTGAACATTGAGGAGACATCCTTCCTCCCTATCATGGAATTAGTTCTTCTCACTAGCACTGAATAGAAATCCCTCGCCTCAGCTAGCAGACCCTCCTCCCTGCCTCCAGGAGAGTCATAGTAAGGTCCTGTTTAGAATGCCACCTCCACAGGCACGGAAATGCTGTTGGGCCTGCCAACCCTGGCTTGGGCAGTCACAGCATTATATTCCGTATTGCCCTCAGTGGGGTCATTCTGCCACTCCTGCATCTGAAAAGGAGGAGAGAACACCTCCTAACAGCTAGGTCATCTGTATGAAAACCACAGGTGGCCCATAGTGCAGGAGACCAGGGAAGCAGTGACATCTGCCTCATCCTTCCTCCACTCTCCAAGGAATCCTGCTGATCCACAGAAGTAGCAGTAATGCAGCTTGGTGCTAAGTGATTTCCAGAGACTCTGAATAGGGAGGGGCTTGTGTGGGCCTGCCTGGAAATGGAAGAGCCTCAGCCCCATTTCTAAAGTATCAGTGACTTTCCGGGTAAAGCAGACCCAGACCTGCTGCCCAGATCCTAAATAGCTCTGTCGCATATGTCCAGAGCTGTTCCTTGTTTTCTTTCCTTTTCCAAGCTGTTCCTTGTTCTTCATAAAAACTGGAGGGTGCTGAATATGTCAAGCAGGAGAGGGAGTGCAAGATGCATCTTGTATCACATGAAAGGTGTGTTGGGGGTGGACATGCACTGATTAGTCCAGATTAGGTTGCAGTAGAGGAGGAAGCTCAGTGGTAGGGTCCAGGCTAGTCGTGCAGCACTGGACAGAGGCCTTTCAACACACAAAGAGAAAAGGAAAGTAGCTGTGTGGGGTGTAGAGCAAAAGGGAAGCCTGCTGTTGTTCTGTTTACTTGCTTCAGTTCTGTGGGGTGTTTTGATCTGAGCATCTTGCTTCTACAGCATAACAGTGGTGGTTTGAGCAGTACTCAGTGAGCAGGTATGGAGGTGGATCAGGGTATCTAAGTCCTGGGCTTTTGGATTCCACCAAAGTGATGGGGCTGGGGTTAGAGACGCTGTGTGTTTACATGAGCCCCAGGGTGGATGCTTTAGGATAAGTGAGCCAAGATCACCTCAGCCTTGACTCTAGTGTTGTTGTAACCTGAAAATGGAGCTTGCTATAAGAGGTGCTATACAATATTTTAAGGAGTTGGGTGCAGTGACTTGTCCCCACAGCTACCTGAAAGGAGACATAACTTAAGACTTTGAGTACAGCTATTCAACACCTGAACTTCCTGTCATGTTGTCCCATTGCACTGC